TCACTGCGGTGAAGAAGGGCACATCAAAAGAAACTGCAAATACTGGAAGAACAGAGGTTGGAGAAACAACAAATCAGAGAATGATGAAAATACCGCAACCCCTGTGATTAATGGGGAAGGTGTTGTTCTCTGTTGAAGAAGAAGAGTGTCATATTGCAGATTTATGTGTTGAATGGGTCATTGACTCAACAGCATCATACCATGCAGCCTCTCACAAGGAATTCTTTTCTCTATACAAAGAAGACTTTTGAAGAGTAAAGATGGGCAACAACAACATTGTAAATATTGTGGGAGTTGGTGATGTGTGCATTCCAACTGATATTGGATGCACAATAACACTAAAGGATGTGAGACATGTACCTCACTTACGTCTGAATCTGATCTCTGTACATGCACTGGATCTAGCAGGCTATATTAACAATTTTGGTAGTGGCAGGTGGAGGCTTACCAAAGGATCATTGTTAGCTGGTAGAGATACAGTGAGATCGATACTGTATAAAACTCAAGTGAAGTTGATCAAGGGTGGATTGAATGCAGTCGATGATGATGCTTCTTCAAATTTGTGGCATAAAAGACTGGCTCATATTGGTGAAAAAGAATTTCAAGTTTTGGCAAGGAAGTCCTCATCTCATTTGCCAAAGATTCAAAACTGAATCCTTGTGATTATTGTCTATTTGGAAAACATCATAGAGTGTCTTTCAGTAAAACCTCGAAGCTTAAAGAGAATGTGTTGGAGATAGTGTATTCTGATGTATGTGGACCCATGGAAGTGGAGAGTCTTGGTGGTAGCAGATATTTTGTGACGTTTATTGATGATGCTTCACGAAAATTGTAGGGATATTTCTTGAGAACGAAGGGCGAAGTTTTTCAATACTTCAAAAGGTTCCATGCTATGGTGGAGAGACAGGCTGGTAAACATTTGAAGTGTCTTCGCTCAGATAATAGGGGCGAGTATACTTCCCATGAATTCAAGAATTATTGTGCTGATCATGGTATCAGGCATGAGAAGACTGTACTTGGAACCCCACAACATAATGGTGTGGCTGAAAGAATCAACAGAACCAGTATGGAGAAAGTGATGTGTATGTTAAGAATAGCTAAGCTACCTAATCCATTCTGGGGTGAAGTTGTTCTAACGGCGTGCTACCTGATCAATCGATCTCCATTTGTTCCTTTGGGCTTTGATATCCCTGAGAGAGTATGATTCGAACATGATGTTAAATACTCTCATCTAAAGGTGTTTGGATGCAAAGCTTTTGCTCACGTAAGCAAGGAACAGAGACTAAAATTTGATGATAGAGCCATTTCTTGTATATTTCTGAGCTATGGAGATGAGGATTTTGGCTACAAGTTATGGGATCCAGAAAATCAAAAAGTTATCAGAAGCAGAGATGTAGTGTTTCATGAGCAAGAAACTAGGTCTGATTCAGCTTCACCAGAAACTACAGAATCAAGTGGTAAGGTGGATCTTTTACCTGTCAAACCTCCTGGAGATGCCACAGCAGGGGGAGAGTGTGATGGAGAACTCAGGGTTGATGATGAGCCAACAACTGAAGATGGTGATGGTGAAGGTGTCGAGCAAGAATACCGCGAAGCTCTGCCTCAGCTCAGAAGATCAAATTGACCGGTCCAACCATCGACGAGATACCATAGTTTCACGTATATTACCATCACTGAAAGTTTTGAAGAAGTTCAGACTCGTAAGGATAAATCCCACTGGATGAAAGCCAGCAAGAAGAAATGGATTTACTGGTGAAAAATAAAACTTATGAGCTTGTGAAGCTTCTGGAAGGCAGGAAAGCCTTGATAAATAAATGAGTGTTCAAGCTTAAGAAAGATGGTGACAAGCTGTTGAAGTACAAGGCTCGCTTAGTCGTGAAAGAATTTGGACAAAAGCGAGGAATAGATTTTGATGAGATATTCTCTCCGGTTGTAAAGATGAGCTCTAATCGAGTAGTACTCGGATTGGTGGCTAGCTTGGATCTGGAGCTTGAACAACTAGATGTGAAGACTGTATTTCTTCATGGAGACCTAGATGAAGAAATCTACATGGAGCAACCAAAAGGATTTGAGAAGACTGGAAAGGAGCACATGGTTTGCAGATTGAAAAAGAGCTTGTATGGATTGAAACAAGCTCCAAGAGAGTGATACAAGAAATTTGACTCGTTCATGGCGAGGCATGGATATACCAAGACTGATGCAGATCATTGTGTGTTTGTTAAGAAATTTCCAAGTGATAAAATCATTATCCTTTTGTTATATGTAGATGATATGTTGATAGTGGGACATGATTAGGGCTGCAAACGAGACGAGCCGAGTCGAGCATTGGCCTTATCGAGCATGATTGAATTTTTATTTTCTGCTGCTCGAGCTCGAGCTCGATTTATGATGCTCGATCTCGACTCGATAAAAAAATACTAGAGCTCGAGCTCGACTCAAGATCGACTCGAATTCAAAATGCTCGAGCTCGGCTCGAGTTCGGTTCGAATTTTTTTAAACAATTTTGTAAAATAACCATTAAATACATATATGTACAAGGGTATTTTAGTAATTTCATATATCTCGAGCCGCTCGACAATGTAAAATATGGGCTCGAGCTCGACTCGAGTTCGGTCAAACTCGAGCTCGAGCGCTCGCGAGCGGCTCGTGAGCTGCTCGACTCGTTTGCAGCCCTAAGCACATGATATGAAGTTGATTGGTGATCTGAAGAAGGATTTAGCAAAGTCCTTTGAAATGAAGGATCTGGGCCCTGCAAAGCAAATTTTGGGCATGCAGATCATGCGAAACCAAAAATCCAAGAGGTTATGGTTATCCCAAGAATGGTATGTGAATCAAGTTCTGTAGAGATTCAACATGAAATCGGCTAAGCCAGTCAATGCACCGTTGGCCAATCACTTTAAACTCAGTAAAAGAAGTTGTTCTACGAGTCAAGAAGAAAAAGAAGCTATGGCGGATGTTCCATACTCCTCGGCAGTCGGGAGTTTGATGTATGCCATGGTCTGTACAAGACCAGATATCGCTCACGCGGTTGGAATTGTTAGTAGGTATCTTTCCAATCCTGGGAAGGATCATTGGGAAGTTGTGAAGTGGATCTTAAGGTACCTAAAAGGCAGTGCAAATAAATGCTTGACCTTTGGCAAAAGAAACCCAGTTCTTGAAGGTTATACGGATGCAGATATGACAGGTGACCTGGATAGTAGAAAATCTACTTCAGGGCTTGTGTTTACATTTGCAGGAGGAGTTATATCTTGGCAATCTAAATTGCAAAAATCTGTTGCCTTGTCGACTACTAAAGCAGAGTATATTGCAATGATAGAGGCAGAAAAAAAAATGTTTTGGTTGAAGAGGTTTCTTCAATAATTGGGAATGAAGCAAGAAAGGTACGATATCCATTGCGATAGTCAGAGCACATTGGATTTAAGTAATAATGCGATGTACCACTCTCGCACGAAGCACATTGATGTCAGGTATCATTGGCTATGTCAAGTAGTGGAAGAACAACAGTTCAAGTTGGAAAAGATTCACACTGACAGAAACCCTGCTGACATGATGAAAAAAGTTGTAACATGAGAAAAGCTTCAACTCCGAGTTGATCGGCATGGAATGCATGTGAAGATTGGCAGAATATTTCCCTTTGGCTGGAGGGGGAGAATTGTAAGTCCAGCCAAACAAACATAAACAAACAAAAGAAAAAAAATCCAGCCATGTGCCACAAACACAAACAGCCAAACATTAGTTGACACCGGAAAGAAAAACAAAATTGTTATATGGTGTAGTTTTTATGTGATACCTTCCACTATAAATTGAGCCATTCAGCTGAATGGAAAACGCACTAAGAAGCAAGGAAGAAAAAAGGCAGAAAGGAAATTTTCTCGAGTGTTATTTTTCACTGAGATAAAAATAGAGTGTTTGAGTAAATATTGTGAGTATGGGAAAATTACACCGGATTGGGTATCAACTCTATTATTCCTTGTTTAGGAGTGGCGTCTCACTAGGTCACTATATTTTATATTTCTAGTATAGAGGAGTATGAAAAAATATTGTAATTATCTTGAAAAATATAGTGGAATTGTTCGGAGGTTGTCCCGTGGTTTTTTCTTCTAATTTGAAGGTTTTTCCACGTTAAATCTTGGTGTCTTATTTCTTGCATATTTATTTGTTTGGGATATTCTTAGTATGCTCTGTGGTCGCAGTTTAATCTGATCTTCCACATCATAAAAGAATTATTCCTGTTTTATTGCAAGAGATTTTTCTTTTGTCATTCTTGAGTTGTTGGGATTGGGATTATTGTTCACCATTTCACGTCAGTACTTTAATTTATACCTTCCGCATTTGCGCATCTGAGCCCAACAATAGAAATACATCACACAAAGGTACAATACATACGAAATTCGAACAAAGAACACATCACAAAGCAATATACAATTTTCGACAATTTCACTTGAACGGAGAATCAGTTTTTCAAATCAATATCGCAGGGTATTCACAACAATTTGAATTTTGAGTTGATTTTAGAGGTCAATTTTGATTTATGTATTGGATTTTGAACCTAATTTTTTAGAAGGGTTATTGAGAGAATGAATGTTGTTTAACCTAATATATTGGAAATACAAATCAATAGATTAAAATATGGCAAACATAACGACCAAACGACTACGTGACTCACGCGTGACATATCTGTCAACTTTTGGTAGTGTAGGACCCAATTTCACAATAAAAATAATTAAGTACTAGAATCGCACTCTCATGACTAAAATTGCGATCGTTTCAAATTAACGGGACTAAATTTGCAATTTCCTCCTGCAATTTAGCAGCAATTGTAGGTGTTGGTGTTGGAGTTGGGAGACATAAAAAGCATTCACTCTGTATTACAATAGCTCCCAACTACCACTACCATATTAGAAGTACCAATTTTCTGTACGTCTTCACAATCAAATAAAATCACTCATTTCTCGTTTCTTTTCGAATCTCCGAGAATCGCAAGGCGGCCGGAGAAAAACATGAGCGGCGAATAGTAAGAATCTCAGATGGGTTTTCAATTTATGTATTCGTTTCTACTCATGTTTATTTCTCTTTTGTCATGTTGATTTTTTATTTTATAGCGACTATTTGTTCAAGCTTCTTTTGATCGGCGACTCGTCGGTCGGCAAGTCTTGTCTTCTTCTCAGATTCTCTGTACGTTTTAATCGATTGTTTTAGTTTTGTTATCATTTTCTTTCTAGCATGAATTGTATGTATTTGTATCGGTGCATAGCATTTTGTTCCTAATCTGTTTATATTTAAATAAATTTGTTCTCTTTCTTGTTCTGATGGTTAGGATATTGAGAACTATTGTATCCTGAAATGGGTTCTTCCATTTGCATGTTACTGTTGTTGCAATTATTTGGTCCAGTTTACATACTTTGGGTTGTGATTACTTCCTTAATTCACTTTATGGATGGCTTGAAAGTGACGGTATTGTTGTTTCGTGTACCGTTTTAGGATGATGCGTATGTGGACAGCTACATAAGCACTATTGGAGTTGATTTTGTGAGTTGTTTTGTGGGGTTTCATGTGGTTTTGTCATATGCTTCTTCTGGAATTATCTCATTGGAGTACTTGTTTTCGCTGCAGAAAATTAGGACAGTGGAGTCAGATGGCAAGACAATCAAGCTGCAAATCGTGAGTTAATCTCTTAAAGTTCCCATATACACTCATAAATATTGGGGTTGGTATCTGTGGTAGATGATGCATGGTGCAAGAACTTATATAAACTGCATTGATGTGTATCTTTTGCCATCTATTTGTCTAACTTTTTAAGGAATGCCCATGAAACTGGGATCGTTCGACACGTGATTTGTTAGCAATTGTGGAAAGCTTTCCTAATTTCATCCTTCAAGATTGTTTTATTCTCCTTTTTTGTTCCTTTTCAAAATTAATGGTTTCTATTTGTTTGGATTGGCCATTGGCCCACCCCTTTTTCAGAAATGTCTAAGAATTTTGGAATGTTTCGTATATAAGGTTACACATGGTTTCGTCCCCCCACACACAATACTGTTTTGTTATGTATGTGCAGTGGGACACTGCTGGGCAGGAGCGGTTTCGGACCATAACTAGCAGTTACTATCGCGGGGCACATGGGATTATTGTAAGGAATATTTTGATATATTATTCTTGAATTTCACGTTTGTCATCATATCAGGCTATGATGTATTTTGATTTTTTTCCACCTAAGTTCAATCACTTTATTTTAACTATTGGATGTTTATGTTGTGAATCAGTTGCCAATTTGGTCCCATGGGTCTTCAATCTTTTCACTGGTCCTCAAATTTTCTATTTAGTGGGTTTATGGTTTACATAAAATTGGGTCCTAAAAATTATCTCAATTTCCTCAAGTATCCTTTTATTTCATTTAGCATCATATCTTGGTCCATAATAAAAAAGTCGTCGTTTTGTATGGCAATGTTTGTGTCCCTTGTCACTTAGTGTTGCCTGCTCTTTTTTTTTTTTTTTTTTTTTTTTTTTTTTTTTTTTCGTTTTAGTTTATTCTTAGGAGTAACATTCGCGTCTGATTTGTATAGATTGTGTACGATGTTACTGAGATGGAGAGCTTCAACAATGTGAAGCAGTGGCTTAACGAGATTGATAGGTACGCAAGTGACAACGTTTGCAAGCTTTTGGTCGGGAACAAATGTGATTTAGCTGATAGCAAAGTTGTTGATACACAGACAGCTAAGGTATTTTTTTTATATATATATATATATATTAAATAAATATTTTTAGTTTATGTAGCTTCAGTTGTTCGCATAACTCTGATTCTCTCAGTAGACATCATATGAAGTTTCTCCAGATTGTCATTTTAACAATTCTTGCAATTTGTATAATTTTTCATGTGCATACACCACCACCGATTGTTTGACACGTTGTCTCTGTATCATTTAGTTTAATTTCAGCTAGGAGGAAATTGGGGTGAAATTATTTCTCTGAATGTGACACATTGTTCTGTGTAAGAGCTACAACATGAGATATGAACATTGAACAGTCCTCAGAGCCTTTGAAGTTCTGTTCTTATTTTGAGCAGAAAGTTTACTCAAGTTCAAATTATTGTCTTTTCATTTATTTCTTTGTGTTTTTAAGATCTACATACTATAAATATATATTAGCTCTACATGTTCACTAAGGCTGTAAGTTGAGAAACATGTACAGATGATGATATGTTGAACCTCCGGCTTTTGATTTTTATCAAAGAAAAAATGAATAGCGCAATAGAATTTATTGGAGATGATGAAGAAAAATTAGGCTAGTGAGGTACTGCAACTGAATAAACGCAAAGAATGATTATCCATGATTTGTCTGTTGAACCAACTAAATAGTACGGGAAACATAAAGTAGGACTGGATGAATGTTAACCTATTGCAACAAACATAAATATCTATTGTAAATTCAGTAAGATCCCCCTTTCTTGACATTTGCTCAGTCATTTACTATATATGGTCTTACATGAATCCTTGCACTATTTCAAACTTGCAGGCCTTTGCTGACGAGCTCGGGATTCCTTTTCTTGAGACGAGTGCAAAAGATTCGATCAACGTGGAACAGGCTTTCTTGACTATGACTGGGGAGATTAAGAAAAAGTAAAGCTACTAATAAATTCAATACCATCTTACATTACATGGTCTCTACCATTGGCTCATGCTCAGAAAATATATACCAAAACTTTTATCTGAACCTTCCAATTTTTGGATATATAATATTTGTAGTTGCAAAGAGAAC